GTTTTTTATTATGTGAAGTACACATCTGTAAATTTTCAGGGCATTTGGATGCTCCAAACAAAAATGAAAAATCGCCAAAGATGGCGGTGTCGAAAACGTGCTTGCTCACTCACTAATTTTAATTCTCTTTTGATTTTTTCTTATTTTTCTGATTAGTTTTATTTTCTGTTTTTCAAATTTGGTAAGGGATTAGGATGCAGCATACATCAGTCAAAGCGTTCACACTCGAACACACTGAAAGCAGCATACAGAAAGCACACTACTCAAGAGATAGAGAACAAAACCCGAGCGCAGGTATTACAAACGATAGTCATGAAGTCCAACATGTCGAGCGAAGAGACCCAACATGTTTCTGTCGGTCGCCCATCCAGCGTCGTCAGGGGTCGTACCCAGCGCAGGATGTAAAAAACTAACTATGCTATACGTACTTATACCTATGTATGCTTCACAGCAGTACAAAAAAAAAAGTACACAGTCTACACCAAGTCCTAACAGAAGTTCGAAAAAACTAAGTCGTCAGTTCGAGGCCTTACCGGTCCTAAAAAAAAACATTGCGTACGATCAAAAAATTCTGAACGGGTAATCACATGTTCAAGTCAAGAGTAGCACTACAAAAAAGTGTTTGGAAAACCAGCAAGTCACCGGGTCAAAGCCTAGTAGGCCTAAATACAGTATTACACAAAGTCCAGTGGTTTCTAGACAGATCGTCCTGTGCTCGAGTCCCGAGTCAGACAAAACACCCGAAAAAACTAGTGCCCTTGTCACAACCCTACCTACCATTTCCAACCCGTAAAACACAGAACCCAATGTGCCCAGCAGTTGTTCATAGCAGCGGAAAAGTTCCTAAGACAATTATCAAAGTATAAATCAGGAAAGCCTCTAATCTATAGCTCAAACTTCAGAGTTAGCAAGAAACAAGCAATAGCTCCCGGCATTGTCGTCAGCTTCCTCGCCCTATGTAGGCAGGCCGTAATGACAGACATCTTTTGTTGTTTTCCCGTATAAGAAATAAAGTCCTGCAGATTTTGTAAAGTCCCAAGTATGGTGTGTACTAGTTAATTCTAAGACCAGATCATTGTCATAACAGTCTTTGAAAAGTTGTAGTCTCCTTTCAACCATCTTTTTCGCGTATGTAGAACCCCTCTGGTATCTCGAGAAAACAGACACGTCGTCCACTAACCTCATCCCAAAGAGAAACATGCGTTCACTTCCCAAATGTCTCAAGAATTCATGCTCGTTGAAAGCGCAAAGCAGGCAAGCCAAGGCAGGGCTCGAAGGTTTGCCCATCGGGATCCCCACCTTCTGCTGTAGCAGAATGTCCATAGCCATATGTGTTATTCAGATCAAAGGCTACCATCTTAATCAGCAATGAGAATCTAATACGTCGAAATCCTGCAGGAGCTTCCTTCTGTTTTCCTAGCATACTGCCTTTATGCAGTAACTCTGTTCAGCAGCAGACCGGGGCTCAGAACGTTGCCCCCGGTAAAAGCACAGACTCAGTTGTCTGTGCTGGGCTATGTGACCGAAACATGCCCAGCCTGAGTCTGTCGAGGAGGCTGTGTGACCGAACGCAGCACAAAGGAAATTCAACAGTCAAAGTCAACTGTAGAGTCAAAGGTACCGCGCCCAGGCCTATGGTCGGATACATTCACTTGTTGTGTGCAGGTACCCAGACAGCATTCAGGGCGGAAGGAATACAGTTTCTGGCCAATCTGGGCCCTCCTTCACCTCGAGATC